AGGGCCCCACACGCCACGCAGGGGTGGGGGCCGGGGGGAGGACTTTAAGTCCCCCCCCTCCCAATTTTTATTTATGACCCCCCCACCCACCGCTCAGGGGTGGGGTGGGGGACATTAGGTCCCCCCCACAATTTTTATTTATGGCCCCCACCCACCGCTCAGGGGTGGGAGCCGGGGGGGACAGTATGTTGTTATTTAGGACCCCCCCCCGCCGTGCACGGGTGGGGGCAGGGGGGGGAGGACATTAGGTGTCCCCTCTCTTTTTGTTATTTAGGGCCCCCACCCGCTGCGCAGGGGTGGGGGCCAGGGGGAGGACAGTAGGTCCCCCCCACATTCTTATTCATGGCCCCCACCCACCGCTCAGGGGCGAGTAGAGGCTGAATTTACTAATACTAAGTAATCTTTACTTAGTATTAGTAAATGTGGCTGAAAGACCAATTTAGGTGACCTATTTAGGTCTTTCAGCCTTTTGGTAGATAGCTCCCTAATACCGTGGGAATTAGGTAGTTATCTACTAAGTGGCTGCTTATTTTATGTTATTTTTAAGTGATTTCCCTATCCACATTTGTTTGCAGGGCACTTGTCCTACTCTTACCCCCATTTTACTTCCTTTTGCAGCCCTGAACCCATTACAGAATTAAAGACACATTCATTATTTCCCAAACTGCTTTGGCTTACAGCCCTGCCCTCCAGAAAAATCTTGGTGTTTCTAAACTATTGCAAACAATTTATTTCCCCACAAAACAAATGGTGGGGTGCTGCCCCAATGGATGAGCCTCCACTGCTCCCTACCTTCTGTCTCTCTCCATATTATCCCACCACCTTCTATTTCTCTCTCCATTTTCTCCCACATCTGCTATCTCTCTCTACATTTTCTCCACACTTTGTCTCTCTCTTCATATTCCTCCCCCCACCTTCCGTTTATCTCTCTCCATATTCTCCCTTACCTTATATCTCTCTCCACATTCTCCCCCCCCCCATTCTGTGTCTCTCTCTCCATATCCTCCCCACTGTATGTCTCCCCCTTAAGATTTGTTCCTAGTTTGTTACAAAATTAGAAAGCCATTAAAACTGGGCTTCTTGCTGTCGTTTGGATCAAAAGCAAAAACATATGTGAGAAAGCCTGAACTTGATGGACACACGTCTCTCTTCAGCCTATGTAACTTATTCAGCAGCCAGTCCCTAGCACTGTGCAATTGCTACCCTCTCCTTATCTCTCCTTTGGCCTGAAGCAGCACGCAGCAGCCGCTCTATAGACATTGCAAATGTCAGAAATTACTGGGACAGCTGCATAGAGTGGGGGTGGACAGGAAAAGGAAGCAAAGAAACAAACTGGCTTTCGTGAGACGGCACTGACTGCAAAATTTTGGTAAAATAAATAAATAAATAAATCACATAGCATCCAAATTTCAACTTTTGCTCACTCAAAATAACCCATAAAATGTGAGAGGTTGAGTGGAAATTTTGAGCCTGTAGTAGGATATCATCTGTAAATGCTGTAAGGTTTAGTGTGAAGTTCCCAATAGCTATACCTGACAAAAATGGCAGGGAGTGAGACAGGCAAATAAGCAGGTCCAAAGATAAATTGAAAAGAAGGGGAAATAAGGGACAGCTCTGTCACTCACCTTTGAACTTTCTGAATCCAAACTGTTTGTAGAGATTTTGGTACATGAAAAATTATATAAGCAACAAATTAGATTAAAGAAGGGTATGCCAACATGCAGTAGTTCAGGACTTCGAAAAGCTGCAGCCAAACAATCAAGTTCAAAAGCTTTGTGTGTATCAAGACTGAGAAGGAAAGAAGAAGGAGACATAGCAAAGTTATGAGCAGAAACTATGACCATTCTGATCCCTTGAATTGATTGTCTGTTTAAACACAAAACAATTGTTGGGGACATAGTAACTAGAAAGGACGCTTTTCTAGACCTGCTTCTAACAAACAATGTTGATCGTTTGACCAACATTCAAGTAGGTGAACACTTGGGAAATAGTGATTGTCACGAACGCACCCTACTTCAAGAGTGTGCGTGACATAGTTGTGGTGGTAAAAGGGTTAAAGTTCACTATGTGTCTGCACTAGACTGGAAATAATGATAAAATCCCCCTTAACACCACCACATTTAAGCATAATAATATAAATATTACTATTTTAATGCTGCCACCACCAAGACAATTTATAAATAGGGTGCCTTGGTCCCCCAGGTAACTTAAAAATAAAAACACACCAAATGTAACTTAGCACAATATCTATGTAATTGCAAAATACTAATGAGTCTCTTCAGGTAACGTGATTCTTTACCAGACAAAGGCAGAACTTAATAAAGGAATATTTATTATGAGCAAAAAATAGTCAAAGTGCATACAAAAATATAGATGACAATCAAATTAGTTACATCAACAGATAAAAACAAAAAGGATAAAATAACAAGTCCTAATCACTTACTTGGGTTTTCAAAGTATATCTTCTGCCCAGGGGGTCTCTAGTAAAAAAGGTGATGTCTCACTTAGAATTAGATTCTGGTCCCTCAAGCAAGTACAATCGTTAGAGATATACCCTGTGCATTACCAAGCCATGCCCAGAGGTGGAGATAAGGCATACGTATAGTAACTATAAGTGACCATCCCCTTGTGTTCCAGAACAATATCTATCCAAATTGGTTCTATCTCCTCTTATGTACTTGCCACAGAAATAATAATTGCCTCTATGAATTTGTTACAATTTTTCCAATCCATAGATATGTCCTTTACTTGTGACCAAACATGGTAGATATCACAATCCCTTCCCATATGGTTAAGTTATGCCAATCATGTTTGGGCTTGTTTAGCACATAGTGCTTGTCCCATTCTAAATATAATACAAATGAGGCTTAATTATTATTCAGTGGGTACATATTAATGTTTCTTTTGGATATGATATTTGAACACAAGGCTAATGATCATTAACATATCAAAGAAATTAACTCATCAATTAAAAGGTAGAGGACATATGGCTGAAGTCAGCAAGTTTGCATTGGAGCTAGGCTTTCAGGCATCTCGGGTGTAAAATCTAACACCTTGCAGAGCTTGGAACTAGATATCCAGGCATCCCCAGAGTAAAATCTCACACCCTGCAGAGCCTTTAAATTAATCAAAGGATCCATCCATATGGTAAATCTTCTGCCCCCTTTCACATTCCTTTGCGATTTACAATATCCCTTCTGATGAGCCGTGAGGCTAAAAGTTGCTGCACGGTGAAACGCGTGTCACAGGGTTTATACGCTTCTGTAAACGAGGTCTCTGTACTTACTGCAAAATATGCAGAGTCAATAATCTAAACTAATTAATTAATGAAGTTAGAGTGCTACCAAGCTGTAACTAAGCTAGGGTCAGTATACTCTTATGATACGCCGAGCTAGCTACTCGACTCTAAGTAAATAGCTGTCAGGAAATCATTCAGACCATTCAGTCTCTATGGCAGAAAATACAGTCTTGCTAACTACTAGACTTAGAATCTGGGAGTAGCTTTATAAACGTACAGACTAATGTACACTTAGGGATTCAACGCTCATGCCACAAACATTATGTTATCAAAGCTAGATATTTTGTCATTTTGCAAACTGCCAAATCATTTTGGGACAAGTATACTCCCACAACCAGACAAGAACCAGCGTATTAACACTAATCTGATTTTGTTAGTCATATTCTATCTTGAGCTAACCAGAGACATTCTAGTCACTAAGGTCTGCAAATAAAGTCATAGGGAATTTCCGTCCTCCACGTTTTTTGTTTCATTAAAAAACAGGAAGAAACCTATTTTAAAAAGATCTTTCTCTTTCTCTAATCCATCCTCCTTATCCCCTCTCTCATACAACAACACGTGCATGGAATACATACACTCACTGAATGAACCAAAAGATCCACTTTGCAACAATGTACATTTAAGTTTCTAATTAATAGAACATTTCTGTAGAAACATATATACTACTTCTCAGATACATGACAAAGTAAAATATCGGCAACAATAATAACAAATTCCCTTTACATAGGAAAATTAAACAAATAACGTGAATCAGCTAATTAATTACTGGGCTTTTATAACCAACAGCTTTGTAGAGCGTTCCCCTTTCTGCCTCATTAGATATACCAGTATCCTAGATATCTATGGTAGATCAGATAAGTATAAAACTCCTCTGGTCTTCATTCCTTTCTTGAATAATATTTTATCTAGAGAGCATTTAGCTCTCTGCTTTTAAAAAAAAATTCTTTATTTGTTATTTCCCGTGCTCAATTGTACAGGAAGAGCATTTCAGGCATTTCTTGGGTTTTCAATTTTCATGTATAAAGCGGTTACACTTATTTATATAACATTTGTGGTTTGTTTCAAGTTGTACAGTGAAATGCTTGTGATGAGCACCTTTGTGTCCGGGTCATGTTTGGGGGCAAGCCCAGGTCTGTCTGAGTGGTGGTATGCTAGTGATTGGTTTGTGTTGCGTTCCTGGGGTACTACAAGCGTGTGGTGTGGTGTACGCTCCTTTGTGGTGCAGGCGAATGCCGTGTTGCTGAGGAGCCTGTTCTCGTGTGGTCACATGTTGGTTCCTTGCAGTGTGAGTGATGCCAGGTTGTGTATATCTCCTGGGTGCTGTGTGCGGCGTGCTTGTCGTATGTGTTGGTCTGGTTTGTGTCCCAGTAGCGGTCTGGCATGCATAATGTTGCCCTTGGCCTGGAGGGGTTGGGGGGTGTTCAGGATGCCGTTAGTCTTCAGGGTGTTTAGGTTTTTTTTGGGGGCCGTTTATTTGTTGAGTGGGCTAGGTGTGTAGACCCTTTGTGTTCAGGGGTCGTGGTTGTGTTCCTGTGTGGGATAGTTCTCATGTGTGAGTTTGGTGCAGCAGTAATATATGCATAAAATAACATGAACAGAATAGCTAAACAATAAACTATTGGAATAACAGAGTAACATAAGGCTTCCATGGCCTTCCATGGTTGTATGAGAATTTAGGTTGTCGGTTAGTGTTGTGGTTGTGCCAAGGCTAGTTCGTCACTGTCCCGTAGCAGGTTCAGGTGCTCTGGGGTTGTTGGTTCTTCACCGCTTGGTCGGTTGAGGTGCTGGCTGTTGTTCCCCAGGTAGTGGTTTGGGTGTCATCTGCAGTGTGCGGTTGTTCCAGGTGAAGTCCCAGTGCGGACAAGAATGCCAGGGCCCCCATCGGGGAGGTGAGATTGTGGGTGGTCTCTGCGTGATGGACAAGTAAGGAGCCGGTGTTACCCCATCTATATGGTATGTTGGCTTTGCGCTGGACAGTCATCACTGGACCAAAAGATTTGCGTCTGAGTAGTGTGGCCCTGGTTAGGTCTTGGAAAAACAATAGTTTGGTGTTCTCAAATTCTAGTGGCATTTTGCCTTTCATGGTAGTCATTATTTGGATTTTGTCGTGTGTGGTAGCACATCTTAAGATAACGTCTCTGGAGGTGTCAGGTGAGATGCGGGCTGAGCTGGTTACACGGTATATTCCATCCAGTGTTATTTTTTTCGCCACTGGGTGCGTCAGGATTGGTGACAGTAGGCACCAATTTTTCAGTGGTGATGGTGTTAGGGATGCTGCGGATCTTAATGTGTGTTCGGTGTTGTTTGTCTTCCGGGTACATTCATTGTGCTGCTAGGACATGTTGCTCTGTTTGCAGCTGCTGGACCGAGTCTTGCAAGGTGGTTGTGGTGTTGTGAACTTGTGTTATGCCCACTTCTGTGTTGGTAACTCTGTCTGCGATCTGTTGCATGTCTCTTTTAATCAGGGCAATGTCAGCGGCCAAACGTTTTTTGGATGTCTGCCAAAAGCACCTTCAAATTCCCTTTGGTGGTGGGGGCTGAGTACTCTGGTGAGACAGGAGGTATGGCTGGGCCCTCCTGAGGGTTCTGTGTGTTTGGGATCCCCCTTCCCTCTGTTTCTGGGGCTCGGGCCATGTTTGGTGGGGGGTCCGTTTGTTTTGGTGTGGCCAGCCTAGGTCTGATCAGCATTTCCCCAGTGTCCCTACCTTGGGCACTGTCTCCGGTTGCAGGTTTGGGTGTACAGCGGCCCGTGTTTAGTGTGTCCGGCAGGGGGTATGCCTGGTGGTCACGGCTGTCCCCTTGTCTGCCAAAAAGTGCCTCTAGATTGAGGATTGGTGTCGCGTGGTAGGCCGCGGATTTGCGCCGATGCCTAGGTTGCTTGGTGGCTTGAAAGAAGGGCATCGACCTGTTCGCCCCATTGCTGTGGGTCCGGGTGTGTGCTTTGTTTGGGCAGATGGCCCCTCTGTCGGAGATATTTGCAAGATTTTGGGTGGCGGACCAGGATCTGTGGAAGATGGCGTCCGTGCAGGTTAGTCATCAGGCTCCGCCCAGAGCTCTCAGCTTTTTAAATAATTTATGTTTAGTGGTTGTTTGTCATTTACATTTATTTACACAATGTGATAATTTATAATTTGGGTGTTTCAATATATTTCGTTTCATTTTACTCTACAGTAACTAATAAACGTTAAGTTTTATCAGATACACTCTTTTTTAAGGACTCCTGATAATTAGGGATAAACTATTGTACCCTGTTAAACTCCTGCTTTTGTTCGCTTCAATATGGGTAGAACATTGGCTTAAAAATAGAGTACAGAGAGTCGTCATTAATGTTAAATTTTCAAGATGAACAGAGGTAGTAAGTGGTGTCCCTCGGGATTCTGTTCTAGTACTGCTTCTATTTAACATATTTAAAAATGACCTTAAAATAAGCATTCAAAGTCATGTTTCAGTGTTTGCAAATAACACAAAACTCTGTAAAGTAATACAATGTGAGCAAGATATTACTTTGCTGCATAGGGATTTAGATGGGGGACTGGGAACTCAAATGGCAGATAAAATTTAATGTAGAAATATGCAAAGTTTTGCACTTTGGGGTATAGAATACACAAGCAACTTATACCCTAAATGGTAGTGAATTAGGGATAACAACACATGAGAAGGATTTGGGAATTGTAATAGACAACAAACTAGGCAACGATGTGCAATGTCAATCAGCAGTGGCTAAAGCCAGTAAGGTATTGTCATGTATAAAAAATAAATAAATAAATAAAAATTTAAAAAGGGCATTAATTCTCGGGATGAGAATATCATTTTGCCTCTTTGTAAATCACTGGTAAGTCCACATCTTGAATATGCTGTGCAATTGTGGGCACCTGTTCTAAAGAAGGATATTAAGGAACTATAAAAAGTGCAAAGGCGGACTATAAAATTAATAAAAGTAATGCAACATTGTAGCTGAAGAATGGTGTACAAATTTAAACCTCTTTAGTTTAGAAAAACTGTGCCTCGGAGGGTATATGATAACATTACACAAATATATCCAGAGCCAATACAAACCATTGTCTGGAAATCTTTTCACAAACAGGACTATACATAGGACACAAATTCATGCGTTTAGACTGGAAGAAAGAAGATTTAGTCTAAGACAAATGAAAGTTTTTTTTACCATAATAACAAGAAGGATGTAGAATTCTCTACCTGAAGAAGTAGTTTTATCAGAGTTCGTACAGATAGTTAAACAGCAACTAGATGCATACTTGCAAAAACATAATATTCAATTATATAATTTTTCATCTGTTGGGTAATAGTTTCTTGTTCCAGTTCCTTCTTGACTGCCATTCTGGGGTCAATAAGGAATTTTTTCCTAGTTTGTTGCAAAATTGGAAGTGCTTCAAACTGGGTTTTTTTGCCTTCTTTTGGATCAAGAGCAAAAAACAAATGTGAGGAAGGCTAGGCTTTGGTCAATGATTATGATATTGAGTATATTTCTCGATCTAACTGTAGATAATAGAGTAGATAAAAGGAGAAACTAGTCTAACCTAGATGCAGTGTTGTGGGCCAGTAAGATGTGTATATTGTCTAACCTTGTTCTGAAGCCTCCAAAATGTGTGTCAGATAAAAGTGTTGAGACAGTAAATGAATGCGTGTCATCTGTGTATCTACCATTGCAACAAAGACTGCAAAGACTCCCCTCTGAGGATTATATTATCTGCTGAAAGATAAACCAACATTTCTATCAAATTAAAATATAATTTAGCATTTTCTTTGTTTAGGCATATATATTTACTAATGTATAGTTTGCCTCTCCAATAGTAACTATCAAAATGATATAGTAAACTGCTGTTGGCTTTCAGGAAAGCATTAAGGAGTACAGCTACTCCCTGGGAGTTGGATTTATTGGATGTGGTGATACAATATATTTAAATCTTTTTACACAATTATTTAATTTTGTTAATTACAATTTGAGGGACCTGACTGACAACCCAGGCAGAAAGTCCAGAGAATTTAATTTGCAAGCTCTATATTTATCCCTGTAACTTTGCAAAACACCATAAAACCTTAACATGGGAGGTACTGTTGTAAACATAGCTGAACACAAATATAAGTGTTTTAGAGCTCTAAAACATATAATGCCGTGACTATGTGGCTACTGAAAAAGATTGTACCTTGGATTGTCTCCTTTTACAAATGGTATGCCATGATGGGGGTTATTCTAATTCCTTGGGGGCCATATGTTCTTAAAGGCAACATAACCAATCTGACAAATTTCAATGTGTATAACCTGAAAAAGGGAACGTGCGACATTTGACCCTGTAGTTTCTAAACCCCATAAAACCTGTATATGGGGGGTACTGTTTTACTCATGAGACACCTATGTGTATTTTATTGCAGTAAAAGCTAACAGTATTATGACTTTCATAATAGCAACATTTCTTAATTTCTCAGACTATTTTACATTTTATTCATATTAAAATATGTTTCATATATTAATGTTTGAAGTGAAAAGTAAGCCCTGCTTCTCCTGAACATCCTTAAGGGGTTAAAGAGTTAAAAACATCTATATCCATAATTAACAACTGCAGCTCAAAGTGGCCTTCATTACCAGTATTGTGATAAAATACTGGGATCTGATAGACAAATTTCAATGTAACCTACCTAGAGCACAAGGTGTCACATAAGAAAAAATTATCACTTGTATACTTTTCAAGATTTTATGACTAATGTTGCAAACAATTGTTACAACTTGGCAAATGCTTGAAATTTCTTAGGACCATATTTAATTTCTTAACTAACCAGTAAAGCTCTTTGACCAAGCAGTATGGCAAAAACCTGTCAAACCACCATTTGCTCGCTTAGAATAGAACATTGCTTATATTTTAAAACCCTATATTGAAAATATTAATCATGTCCAGCAAGAATACAGGTAAGTATAAAGTGGGTATACACAGGATTTGGACACCACCAAAATAAACCTCCAAATGTGGATTTAAAAGGTGGATATCCATAGTCTACCATTGCGGCCAAAAGTAGTCTGAAATATTAATTCCATAAGGCGTTATACGAAAAGCCTTCCTAAGAGACTAAATGAATGGCATAAAATAATTATTTAACTGGACCTACTCCACAATTAAAAAAAATATATAAATACATATTTACAGTTTATTAAAAAGGGATCTGCACTCATAGTAAACCATTCGATTTTCGGATAAAATTCGTTACAAAATAATTTGGTTTTGTCCATTAGGACGAAAATAGCACTGCGCATGCGCAAAACAAAAAAAAAGAAACAAGGAGTTAGCCAGCAGCACTACCAGCTCCCTCCTTGTAATAAATATTAGTTCCCCTACCCCCTCCACCCCCCCACATTAAAACCTGTGGGGGACACTATGACCTCCATATTAATAAAAGGGAGGTTAAATCCGCCTGCATGCCGCGAGTAGGGGCATGGCGCCTAAACAGCGAGCAGCCAGTGGCTCGTTGTCATTTAAAACTACTAGTGACTGGGCAGCTATTGCTATTGCTGCCCAGTCGCTAGTGCAATAAGGGTGGACCTGGCACCCCCTTATTTAATTTTCTTTGCATATTTTTTTTTTTGGCGCTCACTTTTTTTATTTGATTTTAACAGTTGCGACGGGTATTATAGATTTTTATTTGGCCTTTTGTGGGGCTTAAGAAAGAGAGAAAAGAAGACATCTAATGGCAAGTATGACATTTTATTTTACAGCGTGTTAGTTTATTGGACCCCTCTCACTATTATTAGGGTGAAGGGAGTAGGTAGAGTGTTTTGACTAGGGGCGTGGGGAGCCTAGTCAGTTTATTATTTGTGGTCCCCACCTGCTGCTTATGGGTGGGGACATGTGGGAGATATCAGGTCCCCACCATTATTTATTTATTTAGGGTCCCGACCCGCACTCATGGGTGGGGACCAAGGGGGACATTAGGTCCCCCACCTTAATTAACTAGGATCCCCACCCGCTGCTCATGGATGAGGACCTGGGGGGGACATAAGGCTCCCCTCATTATTTATTTATTTAGGGTCCTCACCTGCCGCTCATGGGTGTGAGCCAGTGGGGACATTAGG